ATATATATATATACAGTATATACCTTTTCAGGCTTCCTTTGACATGTTTGTTGCAGCTGTGTTATTTATTTTTTACATAATTTAGGGTAGCGCAAATCAACAATTTCTTTTTATATTTAATCATTTGCACACAAAATGCCACTTGTGGACCTGTCCTTAAAATGAAAAAAAATGTCTGTTGTATAAAAAACGCATGTCTATTGTTATTGCTGGCAATAAGCAAATGGTAGATGTAAGTAATTGTCCACCCAGCTCTAGCTTAACAGCTTTTTACATTACATCTGCATAATGTTGTTTTATGGTCTAAACATCTGAAGATTTCTTGTAATAATACCAGGATTTATGACTTTAGACACTGAACATAACTTTGATCTGACACAGTTTGGCTGTAAAATGCTGTGTGGAGTTTTGTTTCTTTTCCTTGAATTCAGTTTATTGAATGTCCAAAACCAACACTAAATCATTCATGATTATGTCTGCAAAACTTCTCTTTTTATAATATGGAACAAATGCAGTTTTATGAAAAAATGAATGTCATTTCACTAACTGTGCAAATTAATTGTGTGGCTATAATATTAGAGGATATTTCTAAGAAAAATGGAAAGCCTTCTATTTGGGATTCTCTATGCAGTGGAATGAACATGTTCTGCCTTCCACAGAGTAACTGTAATAGTGTGACTTAATATATTTAATTGTTGGTCATTGAAATACAGTGTTTAATATCTATTTTCTCACTTTGAAGTAAGCCACCTGATATCTGTCATCGTTGACTTCCTTTTCTGAAAAATCTGGTTGCCTAGCATAGCATTTATGCAAAAACTTTGGCTTTAATATTTTGCCCACTGATTGTTAGGCAGATAAAGATTTCTGACTCTTCTTTGACTTTTCTGATCTACATACTTGTTCTAAATTAGTAAGGTGCAGGGTCAGTATAGCAGCCAGTCAACTTTCATTTGCAGTAGATGAACATTGGCAGTACCTGTATATTTTCCATGGCAGGTTTAAAGTTTTACTAAAAATTTGTAAAATAATTGTAACAGTAGGGAATGGTATGAAGGTATCATCATTTTGTTGACTAAATATTGTTAATTTTTTTCGTAAGTTTAAGAATACACAATAGAAACATGTATGTATTATACAAAGTTGGTATATCATGGTTAAAGAAGGATGCAAATAGGAGAAAGAAACTGTGTTGGAAAGACAAGGATAAAAAGGGGAAGAAGACAAACCTTCCTTTCAAAAGACTTGCAGAGTAAGCAACATATCATATACAATTGTACGCTATACTAGAAAGTAATGATCTGTATGGAGCAGTAGATGGTTGGCATTAGGGTTAGTTTTATGGTTTCTCTTATCCTCAGTATCTAACATCCTCTTCCCAACTAATGAGGGGCCATTTATGGCACAAGAACAGGTCACTGTTAGTTGAAAGGAGCCACCCTAAGTCCTAAGCCATACAAAGTTCATAGTACCCTTAAAAACCATCAATAATCTTAGAAACCACCATAATTTAGCCCTCACTAGTAACATCAAGGCACATAGCTATAATGGCAAATATTTGGCAAAGTGTCCAGATATGTTGCCAAAATTTAGTCAAAGTGAAAACTTCCAATTTAATTCATTCCTCTCTTCTTGTACATAATGCATCTTCTTATCAACTTTAACTCAATACTTATTATAGGTATGGTCCTCTATGTACTTAGTGTACAATACTTAATCGTGTTATTTTTATTTCTTCAGGTTTTAAATTTTGGCTTCATAGATGGCATGGGTAACTTACAAAATGTACACTGTTATGATGTTACTACTTCAATACCATGTATCTTCGTCAGAAGATGGTGAAATAAGATCAAGTAAGCGACCCACTGAACTATATATTGTATTAAAGTCTATTATCCAATGTTATATATAAAAACATTTTGCCTCTGTGATTCAGTTTCCTTGGTCCGTATTGCTTATATAGTGTATGGTTATAACAGTTTTCTATTTGGGGAAAGGGGATGATGAAGAAGGGTTTACTGGTGACTCCAATATCTTCCTATCTTTAGTGGTGAATCAGTTTTTATTGGCATTTTCACAAGATTCACACAATTCGGTTTAAAAAACAAAACATGAGAAGTATGGCAATGTAATACACAGGAGCGTACAATTCACTGAGATGAGCCGAGATTGGCAACTTGAGACAACCAGCATAATCTCTAATAGAAGCCTAAACAGTTTGTGTATATCTGAAGTCCAGATGGGGTGAAAAAAGAAACAGTGAGGATGCACATATTTCCGTGTTATCGGGTCAGGCAGAGGTACGTATCATGGTACACGTCAGCTTTTGGCTAACAGGAAATAGAAAAGGGCATAACATCGTCTCCATCGCTAAAAAAAGTTCTGTGACTTTTTGCATGAATATCTAGGCGTTGTAGGTAGAACATCAAGAGGACAGACACAGGTTAAAGAGTAGGACAGGAAAGAGTAGTGTGAGAGAGGAAGAGGGAGGGAGGGTGGGGGAGAGGGATGGAGGGCTAGGCACTTCCTATCTTTAGGAATGTACTGTACAGAAGGATGAGGGGGTCTCTCTTTTCAGCTTCCTCTGAAAATACCAACATGTAAATCAGAAGTAAAACCCCACAATAAAGATAGGTGTTTCCAACTGTCGTAGGCTTCAATGAAAACATAGAAGGGTTTACACAGAAAAATTATCTACCACAACCTGATCATGAAAACTCACAATGTAAGGGCACAGTCCACAGCAGAGAAGTTCTTAAGCTTGTCATTTACCTCCCTTACACAAATACATACTACCAACCTGACAATGTACTTGACAGGTTGGTGACTCCATTGAAGTGGACCCTCCAGTTACACTATAAAGAATAGCCAAAGAAAGATAGTAAGCATACCTGAGAAGTGTAGGCTGTCAGTCGGTCTTGCAGTAGGGCAGGCATCATGGAACATGTTCGAACTGTGGAAACATAGGAACCACACTGGATCATAATGAAGGAGGTTAGACATGGAAACTGGATAAGGATCTCAAGGGAATGCACAAGACCTGGAAGTTGGATCAGGACTCACCAATGTACTAGGATCCCACATGAGAGCAGTTGATGCAGAATCCCTCAGGGCACAGAGTTTAAGAGCCAGGCGTATTCTCCAGGTGCCCCTTCACAGGGGTTTGGACTTAGCTGTGTGCTGATCCCAGGTCACGACCCCCGGATTCACCCTACTCAAGCACCATGGGCCACGAGTCAGGAAGACACCAGAAAGTAGGTCTGGGGCAGATAGGAACATCAGGAAACAGAAGAGAAGTATAGGTCAGTGGGTAACAGTTTGTAGATCTGGGTCTGGTTGTGGACATGAAAAGCCAGGATACAAACCAGAGGTCCAGGCAGGTAACATACATGGATAACCAGGAAACTAAGTCAGAGGTTGGTGGACAGCAATCAGTGGACAAGGATGCAAGCTGGAAGCAAAAGGGTTCATAAGGGGTACAGCTAGCTAGCTTAATTAAAGTGTTGCTTCGGCAGTAATCCAAAAGCTGCGCTGAGTTTAAATGTACCAGACAGTTGTAGAAGATTTGTTACAGCCATGAGAGGAAGAGGACCACCCAAACTGGTCTAGAGAGAAGGCCACATGTGGCTGGTTGCGATCCACACTCCCTTGATTATGTGAAGTCACCTTGATTAAACACAGCCACTCTAAGAAAATCCCAAAAGTACACATGGCCATATGTCACAGAAGCAGATCCAGAGATGGAATGAGGAAGGTAAGTAGCTGGTTAACACATCCCCTACTTTTAAATGTAAGGATATTGAGAACCATAGGGGAGTTCAGTGACCATTTAAATACACAAGCCTTCAGTGCATCCAGGAACAGGTAGTACACAGTAAGTGGTGATGGGAGGGGGATGAGCTAGGTGTCCCCCCCCCCAACTGGAATGCCAATTCAGGCACAATGAAGCAGTGGACATTACAACATTGTTTGCTTACGACAGCTTTGTTCAAAGTGGTGAGTCTATCACAGTAACGCAGCGGCTATTTCGTCGAGAATTCAATGTTGAAATCAATGTTCAATGTTGGTTGACATGGAGCCGTTCCCAGTCGCAACACGGTCCTCAGGTTTGTTGAACATTTCAGAACAACCGGAAACATTATTAACAAGAAACCACCAGGCCCCGCCCCGCACTGCAAGGATGCTGGAAAACATTGCACACGTGAGAGGGGCACTGGTTAGGAGCCCGGGGCGGTCTGCTCGAAGATATGCAAGTGAGTTAGGGTTGAGTCGTGAATCAGTGAGAACCATTTTACAGAGAGATTTAAGATTCCATCCATACAAAATGCAGGTTGTTCAACAGCTCAATGTGAGAGATTACGAGCAACAAAAAGACTTTGCTGTGCGAATGTGGTTCTAATTGATTCACGACTCAACCCTAACTCACTTGCATGTCTTTGAACAGATCATCCCGGGCTCATAAACAGTGTCTCTCTCACCTGTGCAATGTTTTCCGGCGTCCTTGCAGTGCGGGCATGGCCAGGTGGTTTCTTGTTTATAATGTTTCCGGTTGTTCTGAAATGTTCAACAAACCTGAGGACCGTGTTGCGACTGGGAATGGCTCCATGTCAACCAACATTGAACATAGATTTCAACATTGAATTCTTGACGAAATAACCGCTGCGTTGCTGTGCTAGACTCACCACTTCGAACAAAGCTGTCGTAAGTAAACAATGTTGTAATGTCCACTGCTTCACTGTGATTGAATTGGCATTCCAGTGGGACACACACACACACACACACACACACCTAACTTGTCCCCCTCCCATCACCACTTACTGTGTACTACCTGTTCTAAAAAAGTCCAACTCCCGTTGGTCACCCTGTAGAATTATTAGATGCCATAGACACTTGTTTGACTGAATATACTATAAAATAATGTCAAATTAGCTTTTATAGGGCCATAACATCATAAGACATTTTATAAGGGTTATGTGTTCTTGCCCTGTTGTCCTTGCAAGTAATGCAGGAATTTGCTGTTCTATTAGAACTAGAGGCACATTCTCCTTAACTAAATGTGTTGGAATATTTTTATTCTTTTTATTCACTGATGAATAACCTCAGTAACATAGTTAATGGATCAGCTTACCAATATTAACCCAAGAGTCCAAACAATTGGTTTAGTATAATTCAGAAGATAGAATTTACAGATGTTGGTGCAATGCGAAAAGAGGTGATATTCTTAAGTTTCCCTTGTGATTTGGACACCTTCTGTTTTTTTAAGGTGTACTTAGACTTTATTCTAGGGAATTGCTTTTGTTTGGCTCAATGTGTTGGCAATGGCTTTTGATGTTTCAGATTACTTTTTTTCCATCTCAGCTCTTTGTTGCACTTCTAGGGATTTATATTGTTAAATAAGACTATTCTGGATAAAAGAAAGATTCCACTGAATCACCACTGAAAAGCAATATGGAACATAGTGCTATATTTATTACATTTTAGTGTGTCCCAGTATAAAATAATTTCATGAAACCTAGAGAAGCTGAAGAAGAGTCTGTCTAAAATAGAAGTTGGCAGCCTGCTAGATTTTACATGAAACACCAATTCTTTCAAAGGCTGCAATTAAAAAAAAAAAAAAATATTTTGCCTAAAAAAATCACTCAAGGTTAGACAATAAATATATAAATATCATATATAATAAATCCTCAACAAGGCAGTGGTAGCATTTAGTAATCTGCATATGGCAGATTGGAATGTTAGGGGGAACAAAAAAATTCAAGTATTTTTTACAAATCAGAGGTTTAGGTTTTCTACCTCCCCTGCATTTTAGCAGATCTCCATGTATTAAACAGGAATATTTACAGTGTTATGTATGCATTAGACCAATACAACAACATAAGGGGCAATATCTTTCTTGAGAAATGGCTACCATGCTTTTGAGTACATTTTGGGGCATTTATCATCTGCAGAGATCAC